TTTTTGTACATTTTTTATGGTGTAAATGTAGAGAATTAAACTATAAAATTAAAAAAATATATTTTTTCTTAAAGTAAAATTTAGCTCTAAAGAATAAAAACTAATTCAAAACTTTTCTTTTTTCTAGTTTATATTTAATGTTATTTTTTCCTGACCCAAATAAATGGTGAATGATTTAGATTAGGAGCTGGTTCGGAAAAATTAAAGTCAATAATGATTTCATGTATTTGATGTGAGAAGGTGCCAGCTATTTCCAACAATAAACGTGACGAGCGAGGGTGTGATGATCGGAAAGGAAACGGACGGTCAGGATCTTCCTAAATGACATTTGTGGTTCATTTGAGTCGCATTTCATTTGCCATAACTTTCCTTTTTTAAACCACACTACTGCGGATACCTCAGCCACACAAAAGCACGTTCCTTAAAAATAGAAAGTGCAACACAGAAGTCACGTACACGTAGCTTCCTTCATTTCGGAAATTCTAAGGTACTCATAACAACACATTCTCCACTTTCTTTTATCCTTATTTCAAACATTCCATCATCAATTCTTCGAAGGTGACAGTTAATCTCGTAACAATTTGCACTCCTTGTACACTAATTACCTTAATACTTTTTTATGTGAGACTCTGATCATGTTCAAAATGCAGCATTTTTTGGGTGTGATGATCATGAATTGTTATGTTTTTACTGATCTTTATCATCATGCGACACGTATAATAACCCCAGATCTTGCATTGTAGCTTAGGGAGACACATGAATCGTTTTTGTTTGTTTCATTGTTTTATGAGAGTTTTTGTAATGTTTGGTGCGTTTTGCAGTAATCAATAAAAGATGGCAGATGGTGAGGATATCCAACCTCTTGTTTGTGATAATGGAACTGGAATGGTCAAGGTATATATAAATGGATCAATTATTGTGTGTTCCTCTTTGATCTTTCTTATACACAAGGTTTGAATTGCGGTCACCGTTGCACTTTCGTCATGTTAATGCTGTCAGAAACTGCAGACCAAAAGTTTGTGCAATTGTTACGGCATCATATGAAAAATTGCAGATAGTGCAATTGAAATGTGGCTATAATGATAATGGAAACACTGAAATGGCCATTTCAGACCTTTTCTGAAAATCTGATTAATGGGTTTTGGTTGTTAATTATCTTTTCTCTTTTTGTGTTGATTTATGTTAAATTTTGCAGGCTGGGTTTGCTGGAGATGATGCTCCAAGGGCTGTGTTCCCTAGCATTGTGGGTCGTCCGCGTCACACTGGTGTGATGGTTGGAATGGGACAAAAGGATGCTTATGTTGGTGATGAGGCTCAATCCAAGAGAGGTATTTTGACTCTGAAATACCCAATTGAGCATGGCATAGTTAACAACTGGGACGATATGGAAAAGATCTGGCATCACACTTTCTACAATGAGCTACGTGTGGCCCCAGAAGAGCACCCTGTTCTCCTCACAGAAGCACCACTCAATCCCAAGGCCAACCGAGAGAAAATGACGCAGATTATGTTTGAGACCTTCAACACTCCAGCTATGTATGTTGCCATCCAGGCAGTGCTTTCCCTTTATGCTAGTGGTCGTACAACTGGTAAAGATTCTTCTGTATCTGATCCTCCTTTTCTTGGTTTCTGGTAATTGGGGACATGATGCATGGTATTTGAATGTTTGTGGTCGTCAAGCCACTTGTACTTTATTAGAATTACGTAATTATTTCAAATGAGTATAGTTTAAATGTTCATAATATATGAACTGTGTGCACTAATCAACTGAGTTTTATTATGTCATTTTTGAACAGTTTGTGGGAATCAATAATGTCATACATTTTATGCATTTCATTACTAGTGCAGGTTGACATGAATGTTAGTTGAGAATATGAGATCTGAAGGACTCTGTTGACATTGAAATAGTTTGAAAAAAATGGTTTTTAACTTTTTATGCTTTTTCACACAGGTATTGTTCTGGACTCTGGTGATGGTGTCAGCCACACAGTTCCAATCTATGAAGGGTATTCCCTGCCACATGCAATCCTGCGTTTGGATCTTGCAGGGCGTGATCTGACTGATGCCCTCATGAAAATCTTAACCGAGCGTGGCTACTCTTTCACCACTACTGCTGAGAGAGAAATTGTGAGAGATGTCAAGGAGAAGTTAGCCTACATTGCTCTTGACTATGAGCAAGAGCTAGAAACATCAAAAACAAGCTCAGCTGTTGAGAAGAGCTATGAGCTACCTGATGGACAGGTGATCACGATCGGTGCTGAAAGGTTCCGTTGCCCTGAAGTTCTCTTCCAGCCATCCATGATAGGGATGGAATCTTCTGGAATTCATGAAACCACATACAACTCCATCATGAAGTGTGATGTTGACATCAGGAAGGACCTCTATGGTAACATTGTGTTGAGTGGTGGTTCAACAATGTTCCCTGGCATTGCTGATAGGATGAGCAAGGAGATCACAGCATTGGCCCCAAGCAGCATGAAGATTAAGGTGGTGGCACCACCAGAGAGGAAGTACAGTGTCTGGATTGGAGGCTCCATTTTGGCCTCCCTCAGCACCTTCCAACAGGTACAGCACTTTGCTTCAATTACATGTGAATGAAATTTGTGGGGCATTATGATTCAGAAAATTCTATTTGGAAAATATGCAGAGACCAATGTAATTAAGGGAAAAGAAAAACAGGAACGAATAACCAACATAACTCAGTTAAAGGGAAAGGAAACTGGTTTAAACTAAAATGGATGTGAAACCAATGTACTGTGTATGCTAATGGAACAACTTTTTTTTATCTTCCTTGAAAGAAGAAGCTTTTCAAATTAACTTTTGTGAAAGCTCCTTTTGGTTTTTTCATGAAAAAAAAATACTTTCATTCTCTGTATTCTTTTTATAATTGTGTTTGGTTCAACTTCTCCATTTTAAGAAAAGAACCAAAAGAAGTTGTAAACACAATCTTAGTACTGATCTTAACCTTTTTTCTGATAACAATTCCATGTATTCATGATATCTCTTTCTTTCTTGAGAACAGATGTGGATTGCAAAGGCAGAATATGATGAATCAGGCCCCTCAATCGTCCACAGGAAATGCTTCTAAGGATGCATAGAGTCCAGGAAATTTTAATATATAATCCATACTCCTGAATTACCATAAACTGGTTGAGGAAGTTTCATTTTCTATTCTTTACCATTTTTTGACCATGTTTTTGTGTTTTCCTTTTTCGATATTTTGTGATAAGAGCATCAAAGCAAAGCATGATAATATATATATAAGATTCTTTTTTGTTTTTTTCTTCTTTTCATTGCCATTTTGTTGTAGAGGAGCTGTGTACTGTCATTGATTTGATTTGGTTGAATCAAATGGTCCTAAGTATTTTGATTAGAATAGTAGTATGTTATTGATTTATTGTTCTGTGAACGAGGGAGTCACTGTTGTTCACGGGCCAATCTTTCATCATAGTAATTGATATTTTGCCAACTTTGCATGTGATATCAGAATAAAAGCTATTGCAGTTTATTTACCATTATGTTAGTGTTAATTTCTTTCTGCAGTTGAAGAAATTTAAAAATGGATCATGTGAGCAACATGATTTTCCACCATCTCAGTCACACAATAAAGCTATACAGAATAATAACAACTTGCCACGTATAAGAATTAGAGAAAGAAGATCACCAACCAAACAAGATAAGAGATTGTGATCTGAATTTGGTTGTAAGAGACAACAAAGTCTAAAAGCAAATTTGGTATTAGGAAAGATAAATTCGTGAAAAAGAAGCGTAATACGGTATATAGCAAAAGTAACTTACTAGAAATAGGAAAAGCAGAACAAACAACCTCAAAAATGAATAATTACTTACTTACATTAACAAAAAAAATGCGACGTTTAGTCTAATAATCTATAAATCCATTGCAACTGAGTCTTGTGGGTATTAATGTATATATTTAATTGGAAAAAATACCAAGTGTTTAACTTTTGTTATACCACTTAATAATCAGATAGGAACAGCGTAGAATGTGAAATTAAACAACCTGCCATTAAATTGAAATATCTTACGAAAGAGGTCAATTTTATGAAGTTTCGTATAAATCAAAAACTAGTTATCACATCGTCTTACCATTTTATTTTAATGGAAAATATATTATTCAAAATATAAGTAAATATTCATTACTAAATAATATATATTACCAAATGAGTCTAAGTTAAATTGATCACTTGTGTATTCTATTTAAAATTATTTGCAAGTATTAAAGTTTAACAACTAATTTACTTTAATAGACAATGTTATTTAAAATATAAGTAAATGTTTAATATTAAGTATCCGATACATGACTTATTTTAATTGATTAATACTTTATTTTGTATGAATTTATTGGAATATATCTATCGAAAAGGTTTAAGAAAAGTTCTAAATTTAAGCCTCACATTCAAAAAATTCCAATTTAAAGACTCCAATTTTGTAAATGATATAAAAAATAAAAGTATGGTAATTCTTTGGATGTGATAGTTTCTTTTGAACATATTTTCTGATTAATTTGAAGTTTAGAACTCTGCCAAAATTACCATCTGTAATTTCAATGTGACCACAGCTTCCCAAACTTTAACTTAAAGTCTTAATCAAACAATATATTTAGATTCATTTTTACTTATTAATGCTAGGAAAGGAAATTACTTAAATCTAATTTGTCAAAAAGGTAAATGTAAAAGCAAATGTAACTTACTCTAACTCAAACAAAAAAACTACAGTTTGGAACTGGAACTGCATGATTCAAATCAATCCAAAGAGTGCAAAAAGCGAGTTATTAGCACTACTAAAAAATCACATCCAAATTTTGAAAAAAAAAAAACATTTGATGCATTAACTTTCAATGTAAACATAAGATTAATTATAGAAAAATTGAATACGCACTTAAAACTACACTTTAGACTATAAACATCATTCGATCAAACAAGGTATGAGAGTATAAAAACAATCACACTGCAAAGTGTACCACCAGCAATCCAGAGAAGAAGAAAAAAAGCATGAGAGAAGCATGGTTTCCCTAATTTATCACCAGCAAACATGTTTCCAATAGACAAAGTATAGTTTAAAACGTAGAAGTTAAGTGAGAATAAATATTGAAGATAAACAACAATTAGATGCTGCAAAAATGTCTAATGAAGTATTGAATTTCTTTTAGCTTCCTTTTCTGGACAATGTTGTGATCATTCCAAACCCCGCAAATTTCTAAAATTTGATGGTCCAACTGTGTCAATAAACCCTTTGATGGACAACTCAGGAACTGTAACCTTCTTGCCACCCATTTCATGGTCAATGAAGACAACCACCACTGTGATATCATCATGGAAGAAACGTCTAATCCCCTTTCCAATCTTCTGGAGGTCTTTATATCTCATTTCCCTTTTCCTAGCTGCTTCATTCAAAGCTGCCATAAGAAGTCTTCTTGCAATCCCCTGGTGGTTTTCAAGAGAGTGTGTTAGAGACAAAAAGTTAATGGTTTTTCATATAACAGGGAAGAGATGGTTGAAGGAAAAACCATCTTACTGTTCGTGGATTGTTATGAACGATCTCAGCAGCTTCCTGGTTTGTCAAGTGCTCCCAGAGTCCATCAGATGCAAAGATAACGAACTTATCATTAGGTCGTAAAACTCTTGAACATATGGATGGTTCTGCAGTTAGCACAGGGCGGCGGATAGGTTCAGGCAGATGGAACCGTGGGAATGACGGATCGAACGAGAACTCCGGCCGCTTCAAATATGCATCTCCTATAGATCTGGATACCTGATCTCAATTGCGGGTGGACAAGAAAACTTAAGTTACAATGAGCAACCACAACCAACTGAGTAGGCATCTCTTTACATAAGCAAATGCAAGATTAGCAACTGAATCAGAATTTAATGTAGCAGCAAAAGGCCAAGAAGGCTTGTTGAAATAAGCTAAAAACAGATTATAGACACAGATCATAAATGTTTTCACAAGATCTACCAAAACACTTGTCATAAAAGAACTATAAACAAGTTCTTGCAAAACATTATTCTGTGTAAACGAAGAAAAGGGTGTAAAACCAAATATAGAACCATATACACCTTAATAAGAAAACTGATTCCCATGAATGAAGCCACAACAGTCTATAAAAGAGAGGAAAAAACAGAACAACATCGGCAGCAAGCAACAACAACATAAACCATTAACAGAAATTTCTTCAGAACGAGATAAGAAAACCTGGATGATGCCTTTAATGCGCCACGTTCCTTGCTTCATAACTACAATTTGTGAATCTTCTGGATGCAAAGACCTGAGTTCTCGTCTAACCTCCTCCTTGCTTGCATTGTGCTCTTTGGTCAACTGTTCAGCGATGATCTTGTTTGATCTACCTACAGAACCAATCACAGCTCGAGAGTCTCCGAGATTCGCAATATATAGTGTTCCTTTCCAGACAACACCAACCAGGCAACAGGAACCCATTGCTGCTATCAATGGCTTTATTCCATAACTCCTTCGAACAAGAGTCAGAAACCCATCCTCAGTAGCAGAAACAGCATTCCTGATAATATCTTCGGTGATAGAACCATTTTCTTGAGCAACCCCTGCAATAAGATTCAGCATAAAACTTACACAACTTCCTGAACCAATGCAGTATCAAGCACACTCGCAAAATAAATAAGAACTGGAAAAAATTTTGCAGGTTAATAAAAATATATGCATCACTGTGAGACAGTAAAAGTATCTACATATTTTAACTAAATGAGTCTGAAACTATCAATTTATATGTGAAAAAAAAAGGAAGAGATGAGCGTATAAAAACTGAGAATATGGAATTTCATAAACCATATCAATCCAGAATTCGCAGGTAAATCAATAATTTGCATCCCACCTTAATCATATCATACTACATTTTAAAAGTTTCCAACTTTTTGAAGAGAAACATCATCTTACCTATTCCTAGTACTCCAAATTACAAAAGTAAAAAAAATCATACTTGGTCCGGTGTGTGCCTTGATTGTATGAGTAACCTAATATTCATTACAAATTTTCCATCTTCTCCCTTACCACTCCCAACACAAAGCAAACCATAAATATAAAACTGTATTTAGTCAAAAGACAAAAAAAAAGTATATGATTGACTGATATGAAAGAGGAAAATTAACACTTACACAAAACCAAGTTAAAATTGAGGAAGAACTACATGATAAGTAAAAAGGTTCAAACTTTTAAGAACAAAATTACTCCATCCTCTCTAGGATATCTACAATACATACACAACCAAATTCAATAATGATTTCCATCCAAAGAACACCACTCAAACCAAAAAGAAAAAAAAAAAAAAAAACCCACCTCCTATTCCTATCTATTCTTCTGAAAGCTATTTGAGTTTTCCTCAGTTTCTCGTAGCCGCAAAAAATTTACAAACCAACAACAACTGGCCAGCCAGAAACACATAAGCCAAACTAAAGGTCCATCCAAATAGCACCAAAAAGACCCAAAATCCGAAGCAACCAAAAAGGTCCAAAATATCAACATTGATCAACTCTCCCCCAAATCAACGACACATGACCCCAAAACCAACTTATAACCTTAACTTTTTAATTCCAAAATAAAAGAATATCCTCTACAATAACCCATCCAGCAAGAGTGACAATCAACTACTAAACGCTACAAAACTCTCCAATCGACCATTAAATCACTTGATCTCAACATCACTCATCAAACTAGAATTACCTCACATCAATTAATCTATTTCCTCAATTTTTACGGAAAACTGTGTTTTCAGTCTCCATATTTTTTATTCAACAAAGTTCAAGGTCTTTACTTTCAATTTGATAAATTTGACTTCGAAAAAAATGCAAATTTACACCTCCGAAGTCTAAAACCCATAAAGAAATTTAGAAGGGTACTGAATCTACGTAATTTCTTAGAGTTTAAAATCTAAATTGATCGATATGAAATATGGAAACTTCACCGGAGTGAATTGAAATTAGAGACCCTAAAACAGTTTCTTTTGGTCACTGTTACTACTGTTGTTGATGAATTGAGAAAGATGGAAAAGAAGACTGACTCATGAGATTAAGGAATAGGTGATCGTTGATGAAGCGCGAGGCTTCGGCTCCGCCGTGTCCGTCATAGACGCCGACGAAGACGGCGTCGGCGCCGGTCTCCACCTGGCTTTGATCCTCGATCACTTCGTTAGCCTGCACGACGGCGAAGGAGAACTCGCCGCAGGAGTGCTTCTCGAGATCGCGGTGCCACACGAGCACGTCGCTGGCGGCGGCGGCGTCGTCGAAGTCATCCTTGCTCATACGCGCATATCGCCTCACCGGTCTCAAGCATGCCGACACTATCCTTGCCAGCCACGAAAACATCCCACATTTCCCTCTCTCACGGATCCCCAGAATAAGAAGACGAAGAACCCAGAGAGAGAGGGGTGTAAAAATTGAACAATGAGATGCACCCAGATGGGGCAGAAGGTGATTCTCGGGGTTTTCGATTATCGGGTGCGGAAAAGATAGGAACTTGGGAAGTAGGAATAGGTGAGCAGCGAAAATAAGGAAGAGTCAGAAGATTGGGTGCGAATTATGGAGTGAAGAGAATCTTTTTAGTATTGTTGGATTTGGAGAAAGGGTGTTGAACAGAGAAAAGTTGAAATGGGAGAGGATCTGGTAATTTGAGAGCAGAGAAAAGAAGAGAAAGGACAGAAGGAGAGAGTTGTTTGTGTCAGAAGTTGTGAAGAAGAATGGTTAAATACATGGTGTTGGCGGGTTGCACATAATGAATGGTGTTTTGTTTGCTTGTGTTGTAGAGAGAGAAAGAGAAAGAAAGAGGGTTGATTTGAGATAGCAGGATTGTGGGGTAAGTGAAAGTGGGGTAATTGTTATTGATAGAAGGGAGAAAAGAAGGGAACTTTGTCTGAGAAAGAGTGAAGAAGAAGAAAGGGTTGAAGAGGGAGCTTGTTTGAGGGAAGTTGAATTATGTCTCTGTTTATGTTTGACTTTGATTTGATATGATGAAGATGGAGAAGAAGTGATGAAGAAGAAGACGAGGAAGAAATGGTGTATCAGCTTTCCTTTTGTTGAATTTGTTGTGGAAATTGAAAATGTTTTATACTTTTATTGTTTCTTTCTTTTCACATTAACAGGTTCTATACGGCAGACAGTAGACACGAGTAGGTAGGAGGGAAAAGAAATATAATAAATCAAATAGATAATATGATCAAAGAAAAAGAAACATAAAAAGGTATAAAATAAGATCTAGATTGTAGAGTGTGGACAAATGAGAGGTAAAATATAAAATGATTTAAATGTCTATCAATATTTGGTCAAATAAACCTATGAATATACATTACCATGAATTCATGTGCTTACTTCAGTAGGGAAGGATCCAAAGTCTTGTCATATATGCAAAGGATTTAACTTATTTATTTATTTTCTCTTAAAAGCTTATTTATTCTTTCTTTCACATTTAGTATGTCATCCAGTTTAATTTTAATTCTTGCATATTAAAAAAAGTAATTTTGATCTAGACATTTTTAAAGAAGAAATGTGTTTTGGATATTTTTAAAATTTTCAAAGTTCGGTTTTAATTTCTTTAATAAAATTCTTATTCTGTTCTTCTTCTTTTTTTATATTGAAACATGTCATTTTTAATCTCTCAAATATTATCTAAGTCTGTAAAAAACTGTCTAAATTAATTGGATTAAATATATTTTTAGTTTTTAAAAATTAATATTAAATTAAATTTTTTTTTTGTTTCAATTTTTTATTTAGTTTAATTTTAATTTTTTTTAAAAATATATAGTCATTAAATTTTTTTATGTGAACTTAAGTTGATATTTATATTATTTATATAAGTTAATATGTTATAATATAAATTTTAATTTAAAATTTTGTTTTTCATATTTATTTATTTTAAAATAAAATTAACCTCAAGATTATATTTATTTATTTTAAAATTTTAAAATCTAAATATATCAAAATTTAAATCATAAACAAATTTCAAATTCAAATTTAAATACTACAAATATATTTAATTCACATTTATTTTTGTTCACATATTAGACTATAATCATTTTACATTCCAAAATTAAATGAACAATTTTTTTTTCACAAAAATACTTTAAAAAGGGTCAACACAATTTCGTACTAACTCTACAAAAGTTATTCTTTACTTCAACCTTCTCTCCTTGAAAATCGAATAGCTAAGACTATACCTATGACAATCATCAAGTTTTATGAAAATAAACTAAATAATTAAGATAAAAATAATTCTTTTATAATTACCTCACAAATTTAAATCTTATGTTGAAAATTAGATTTCTTTCATAATCCCTCTTCTCAAGGAAAGAAACCTATTGCAATAAAAAAAAGTACAAAACCCACTGAAACTACTCCATTCAGAATGTATAAGTACAGATTACTTAACATTTTATTAATTTAATATCTAAATATTTCAAAAGAAATACCAACTATACAATTGACACCAATTTCATATTTTTAAGAAACTAAGGTGATTCCATTTTGTTTTTTTAAAAGAAAAATGTTTTTTTAAAAGAAAAAGGTTAGGGAAATACATTTTGTAGTTTCATAAATGGAAAAACTTAAAATATACATAGGATTTAGAAAAGCAAACTAAAGACAGAATTCTAAATAATAGTGGTAGCAAATTCTCCTTGAACTATTACATTATTTAACAAATAATGCATTACTCGTAAATTTAACAAATGAGTTTGAATAAATGCGTGTGGACAGTGACAAGCTTTCAAGAAGATCAAGCTTGAAAGTGGGTCTATGGTGGATTGAGATGATTAGAATTTGTTGTGAAGTGAAGAAAAGTTGGGTATGGTTTAAAATTTTGGTGATATTATTTGTTGAAGGAAAATAGAATTGAAAATGTGAGTGGCATGTTTGTAAAGACAGAAAGATTTTCCGAATTTTGTATGTTGCTATGTTTTTGTTGGGTAGTGAAATGAGTAGGGCGAAAGGGTTTGGGTCATTAAATTTAGGAGTGGAATGATTGCATAAATAATTAGAAGTGATAGTGTGAGGTTGGAGGAAGATTGGCCACAAGTTTATGGTATTGAGAAAAGGAAAGGAAAAAGGTGTAATGGAGTAGTTGTGGGTTATAAATTATGCAACATGTTTGGATGGAAAAGTGAGATAGAATCATGTGGCATGTGAAGTTACTCATACAGTTGCATTAAAGCTTTGTGGTTGCTACCTAGGAAGCAATTTTCTCTCTTTCTCTTTCTTTTTCATTCTCACATGCTTGTCACTTCCATTTTCTTCAATCTTTTCAACTTTTTCAACCAAACCTATCTTCTATCCAAGAACCCTAACCTACCAAATACGCAAAACTAAATTCACATTTTTATTTTACGCCATTTTCTACTTTCTTATGTTAAACTTCTAACACTTTCTTTTCACCTTAACACTCTCTTCCTATCAAACCATTTATCAAATATGTTTATCTGATACCATCAATTGTAAAGTTCATTTGTGTTTCATACCACGATTTGAAAGGACTTTGAAACTATTTAATTACTCACAAACTTTATATTTAAATATATCTATTTTTATCTTTAAATCTTTTCAAAATACATTACAAATTCATCCAAATTTGTTCATACGTTTTATCTTATCTATTTTTATCTCTAAATCTTTTAAAAAATTCATTACAAATTCATCCAAATTTGTTCATACGTTTTATCTCAAATAATTTATTAAATATACACATACTAAAGAATAAAAATAGATGAAATAAAAAATAAAGAGAGATGTGTGGAAGTTTGTTTATTTGAAAGATGGAAAACAATAATGAAAATGAATATTTTTTAATTAAAAAAATATATAGTATCTTATTATTATTATTATAAAAATAAAATTGTAAAAACAACAACCATAATTCGTTATGTTTGTTGATTTTGAAACAATTTCTTTTAAAAGTCTTTACAACATAATTGCACGTTATTATTATTGAAATTATGTGATTTCATACAACTTTCACATTTTTAAGATGATTTTTTTCAATAAATCGTGTGTATATATGTGTATAATCATAATATGTTTGAAATCATTAAAGTTTTTCATCACTATCTTTGCTTTTAAATATTGAAATTAAGGCTTTGTACAGGAAAGTCTTCACCCCTGAATGGTGAGGGAAATTGCCTCCAATTTTGGGTGTTGTTTTTGCATAGTAATAAATTGGTTGACTTTGTTTCACTGAGCATGGATTTTTCTTTTGTACCATTGAAAGTCAAGCCCTTTATTTTTATTTTGAGAATTTATAAAGTACTTTTCTAAAGGTGCATGCATGAGTTTGTACAAGTACTATGTTTTAAGGAAGTTTTATAGAATACTATTGAACAAATTCCATAGAAATTGATATTTTAAAGAAAATTAATGCCTTGTAATGAAATTTGTGTTGAGGATCATGCTGTAATCAAATTTGAGTATAAAGAGTTGTTTATTTATTTATATGTTGTGTCCAAGAATTTGAGACACACCATGTCAAGACAGCCATGATTAAGATTTTACCAATGTAGATTAATAGTTTGATAAAGAAATACCGTCAAATATTTTTATGTTTGTAAATAATGACAAAGATTTCATTCATATTATTAATTATATGTTTATGACAACGTCCTTTAAAGAAATATTTGTCCAATGCTTAGGTCACGACAAAAATTTGATTCATACATTATTAATTATATAAGAGAACGTGTTTGTTTTGAACACTTATTTGAGACACTCATAGTTTATGAGTTATGGTTAGCAAATTATATTAGTTTAGATTTTAAAATTGTTGATGAGACTATGATGATGATGATGTTAAATAACAATATATATAAGAATTGTGTTACTTATTATATCATTAGAAAACTAAAGTATTTAGAAATTTTATCTATGTTTTGGGTGTTTATTTTTTATTCTTGTAAATTGTGAACATTATTTTATTAAATATCAAAATTTTGTTAGAACGAGGATAATAGATAAATAACTTAAAAAAAGCTATTAAAGTTGGCCCAGCACTGTGCAATGAATTGTGCGGCCCAGCCCATTTTGGAAAAGCACCCGCAAAGGCTTAATACTGAAAAGAAAAGCCACGCAAGCAGAGCTGCGTGATATTCGCACAGGAAGAGAGAGAACGGAGCGTTCTGGAAGCTCCTTCAACCTCGGGTGCTGTCGGTGCAAGATGATGGCTTCGGAGGCAGCGGTTGACGATGGTGAAGAAGACAAAGATGGAGAGCGTGCCAAAACAGGTAAGAAAAACCTAGCCTTTTCTCATTATCTGTAATCTTGAAAAACTGTTCTGATATTGATTGAATGTAATTGTATATCTCTTATTCTTAACATACAAGAAGGAGAGAGCTCTATTTATAGAGCTCTTGCCTGAACAACAATGGAAAAACTGTAAAACCTAACAAACATTAAAGCTAACTAACTGAAAACAGAAAGGGGTTACTGTCTTTATGACAGTAACCAACTTCATTCCCAATAAAAGCTGTAAAAGATTTTATTTGGGGTGTTGCAATAGTCAACATACAAGCTTTAGAAGATAATAAGACATAGAATCTGAAAATTATTTTAAAGAAAGTTTTTGTAAATATATGGGTATACAAAATAAAATATAACTTTCGATGGAAGTATGAGATATTTGAAAGAAATTTGTTATATTTAGACTTAAGGAGAGAAATGAAATAAATTATGATGAAACATTTAAGTTTACCCAATAATATACATAATGCTTTTCTTTACGGTGATTTAGTTGAAGAGATATACATCAAAGTTTCTCTATGTTTCAAAAACATTAATCTAAAATATGTTTACAATTTGAAAAAGTCATTGTACGACTTAAAACAAATAACACTAAAGTGTCATAGTTTTATTTAATCCTATTTAAATTACTTATTATTTACATGAGAGAAATACATCTATGCAAGTTAGCTTACGTGGATGACTTAATTTTAGCATAAAATGTTATTTTAATCATGAAAAATTTTAAATTTTGCATAAGTGTTTATATTCATATGAACGAATTGGAAGTTTTAATATATTTTTTAGA